CAAGTTTAAGTCGGCTAAAGTATCCCCTAAATAGAATAAAAAAAATTTATGCTTCTTCATGTATTTTCTTTCTTTTAGGATCTCCTCAAAATCGGTTTGGGCTCATTGGCTTTTCTCTGGCTCGTAACTCTGGCCCATCATGGCTTATTTCTGTAGGTTAGAGCATGTTTATCCTTGATATTTCAAGAGTATCATTAAGCAAAAGTAATTAAAAAATTAATTAATAAAGAGATTTGCGTGTGATTCGTCTCAATGCAGAGAGCTGGTTGATANGGTTCGTAAGGACACGTGTCATCCAGATATTGGACTTTTTTTTTGGTCTAAACCAAAAATCGAATCTGATTTCTCGAAATCAACTTCTCTCTCTCTAATCCTCTTCTCCATGGCGATTCCGATGGCGTCGTCGTGATCTTGCCTTCTTCCTCCTGNATTCTGNTGGCGTCGTCACTCCGTTATAAGGANTTTCGATGGCGTCGTCACTCNGTTATAANCAATTCCGATGGGCTTTTTCTTGAGGAAGATGATGCTGTTACCGGAGGCTTCTAATTGNAGGTGAAATTTTTACTTTTTCCCAATTGTTTGTTACTAAATGTTGGATTTTTTTGCTTTATGAAACTTTTCGAAATGGGAAGTTTNTACTTTGTTTGATTTCTTGTGATATTTGTTTGTGAATATTGTGTATGATTTGAAATCTGATTACTTGTTTTTTTTTCCTTGAATTCTAATCAAAACAAGTGAAAATAGTTTCTTCTTTGATTGGTTTGTCACGGTCTCAAAGTTTCAATAGAAATTCAGTGACCCAAATAGCAAAAATTGTAGTAAATACTAAAAAAAACCCATTTATTCTCTTGATTGTCAATTCAATAACCTCAATAATCTGCTTTTCTTTTGTTTCAACAGTTTTGGATTCTGACTAACTTGGCTTAACTAAAACAAGATAAAGCTTAACTGATTTGAAGTAACCGTTGTTAGGGTCAAAACTNCCTCCGACAGTTTTCTCTTGTAAAATGGCTAAGTATAGAAATGAATATAAATGGGAAGGTGCCTAGTTCACTCTGAAGAACTGGACGACTTGCCAGAGTAACTCGTTTCGTCTAACACTGGCATGATCCGCCAACTATTTCTGCCTCTTGTCGACTTCTCCTCTTCTGCCGACTACTGCCACTGCCAACCACCAGTTGCACCGACCACTAACCCTCGTGACACCGGCGCAGTAAAAAGCTCGACGAAGTCGATCCACATTAACTTATTTGGGCCGGCTACATGAAGTTGGGCCGAGAACATAAGCCCAAATTGGCAGGATGGCAACATGACGAGATGGCAAGGTCAGGCCCAAGATGGCGAAGCACATGGCAAGCGCCGACTACGAGAAATAGGAAATCCTGAGAAATACGGAAAACTTCCTTATCTCTTATTTGTTAGACCTAGCCGACTTAGACTTGTATAAATACTCTTAAACTTCCCTTGAAAAAGGGATCCGCAACTTTTTGGCAAAAACACTTAGCATCAAATCAATAAAAGTTTTTTTAACGCTATTTTCGTGTTTTTTGTCTTTGTTCTTGATTTTTCTTGTGATTCTTTCCCAGAGATCTTGTTTCCCTTAAAACCCCTTGACAAATTCAATTGAGTTGGTTTCGACCTCTGTTGGGGTTGGATTTCACCCGCTCAACGTCAACGTTCAAAGAACAACAACTGGAGAAATGACCCTCGGGATTCTCAACGTCTAAGGCGTTGAGAATGGTGCCTAAAGTCCTCACGCGAAGCAAAGCGAATGATCATGTCAAGAGCCTAACCCGAGGACGTCGTCGCTGCTACGCGGGAGAGAACGTCCTCGCTGCTACGCGAGAGAGAACGTCTTCGCTACTACAAGGGAGAAGACGTCTTCGGTCACTACGGGAGAGGACGTCTTCGCACACTCCNNGCCGAAGACGTCTTCGCAAGCCATGACCCAACNGACCNAAGACGGCTCAAACCGAAGCCCAGTCCAGTCACGAGGCCCAGAGGACTAGCCGACTCAAGGAAAGGTGACTCCGCGAAGACTTAGGAGGCATAGCCGACTTAGACGTAATATATATACCTGATGTAAAAGCCCTTGTGGAGGCACTCGCAATCTGATTCACAAAAACTGACAGAGCAATAAAAAAAACAACTTTCGATACTTTGGTGATCTTAGCTAACCCTAGAAATCTCTACCTCTTCACGAAACCCTAACAAATCTAGTTGTGTTGGTTTTGGCCTCCACAACCTCCACAATTTGGCGCCGTCTAGGGGGAAACCTAAGACTCTCTTACACAGAAGGAATCACACAACAACAGATCCAGCAAAGATGACCGCCGACGACGTATCCGAGCTCCCCAGAGAAGACCAGCCCGGAGATAAGAACATGGAGGCTCAAAACATTGGCATTGACAAAGACGCCGAGAATTCCGGAGCTCTGAGCAAAGATTCTGATGACTCAAGCGCAAACCGAGCCGCTGGGACAACGGAGGCGACTCCCAAATTCTTCAAGCAGATGAAGGAGATGATGGAGGTGTTGCTCAAGAAATCAGCAGAACAAGATGCTCGAAACGCGGTGATCGATGATGAGCAACAGACCTTGGCCAGGGCGAGCAGAACCCGAGGCAGAGGAACAGGCATAATACGGAGATCCATAGGACGTTTTAACCCGATAGCCCTGAACTTTTCCAACCCGACCGGAACACCACAGACCCGTGAAGCGCCGTCAGCCCGTCATGACTTTAGCACCGCCGAACCAAATATGACGCGAACGCACCTCCACCTGGCAGAGCGCCTCTAGTGATAAATCTTGACGACCATCCGAGTGGAGAGCGTGACTCAGGCGATCAACGTGAGCTTCGAGACGAAGGCCAAGCCCATATCCGACGAAACCATACCCACTTCGAGCACGATCGAGATTTCCCAGACGAGGAGGAGGAGAATATTTGCTGGGCCGAGCAAGCACAGCACGACGAGGAGCGTACAGCAAAAAACAAAGCTCAAGAGGACGAGCTGGCCAGGATGCGGGCAACACTAGACCAAACCGTCTCT